CGGCCGTGTCTCGGCCGACGATCAGACTACGTTCCTACGACGGCTCCTCGCTACTAATAATACGCCGATATACCACCTATTCAGCCACCATGGCTCTACGTGGAAGTCCCGAGAGCAGATTTTACGGAACGCGCGCGGCTTCTGCCTACCAAAGACACTGCTAATCGCGCGACCACGCTGATCGCCAGGATCAACCGACGCGTAGGATTCGTCTTAACCCGGTTCAACCCCCTCCCCGTTACGGTGTTTCAGTTCGGTGAAACGGTGCCGCGAGATTGACACAGAACCGTCGGTGTATTACCCTGACCAGCTGGAAACGGAGTGAAGTTCAATGGATTAGTGATACGAGTCACCGGTAGAATGTGATGCCGTCGGTGTCAGTGGTGTCCCGGGTGATACGGGTGCTTCGAGAGTGTAGCAACGAGATGAAGGGTCGAGAGGTCAGGTAAAGAGAGAGCGCGGGTTATGTGGAGGATGCAGGAGGGCAGGACCGTGTCGCCTTTAGGACCGGTCGTCCTACCGAGAGAGGAAGCCGATATGCGTGCCGGCCTGTCGCTACCGCCTCAAGAAAGGAGGCACGTGTTGCTCCACGTACGCGCCAGCGAGCCTTTCGTACGCTACGAGAACGTGCGACATTCGCCGTCGACCTCGCCGATCTTGCGGCCGATCGACAAGGAGCCCGCGTTCCACGAGATGGACGTCAACAGGGAGAAGAGAATGGACACGGAGGTCGAGGAGGAGGAGGAGCAGGACGAGGAGGAGGACGAGGATCCCGAACGGAACCCGGTGTCCAGAAGGAACATCGTCGAGGACGAAGAGGACGACGACGAGCAGGAGGACGACGAGGAGGAACTGCACCCCGGAAGTCGGAACGGAAATTATCAGGAGGACGAGGACGTCGAGGTGGACGTATGCCGAGACGAGGTCGACGAAAGCAACCCCAGTAGCCCCGTGGACTTGACCGCCCCCTCGTCCAGGGGTAGCGCGAGCGACCAGTTCCTTAACCCCTTCGCGAATCGCGGCGTGCATTTCTCCTGTGTTCAGAGCGGTGGCCAAACGACTGGCCACGGGACTCCTGTGTACATATCCGCGCATGCCGCCGCTGCTTCCACAGGGATGACTGTCTGCACTTCCGGAAACGCGGCAAGAACGACCGCTACCTCGACCGGTAGCATCACCACGACCGCCAGCACC